GTCCTCGATAGTCAACACACATTCGTAAAGATCCATCTTTTTTCTTTACGAATAAAATTGGAGCTCCTGCTGGAGATTTTGAATGACGTATGAAATTCTTCGCTAAATTCTCGTCAATATATGTCTTGAGTTCAGCCAACTCATCTTGCGATAAACTGTAAATTGGTCCAAATGGTGGCTGAGTTCCTTCCTTGAGATCGATTGAACAATCGTATGGGCGATGCTCAGGAAGAATATCTGCATTCTTTTTCTCAAAAACGTCTTGATAATCCTGATATTGACTTGGAATGCCACTTGAAGTCTTTACGCTTTCAGAAATAGGTGCAGCATAAATAGCAAAAGTTGATCCTTCTTTTGCTGCGTGTATAAATGCTTTTGTACCTATAAGTGCGGGTTTTACTATACTAGACTCATGGTTTTTTACTTGATTAATAGAACTGTTACTAATGCTCTGAGAAAAATCAAGTTTACGAGAAATCCAATCTATTCGAGGATTATACTTTTCTAACCATGATAAGCCTAAAATTATTGGATTAGAGGGAGATCTAATTATATTAAAAATTACGCAACTACTATGACCATTTATTATTACATCTACAGGAAGTGTTTCGTGAGTTACATCTCCAGAAGACAACGGACGACCATCTATGACTTCTACGTGTACAGGTTTAGTTTTTTGTATTAATGATATTCTATGACATCTAGCAAATTCTTCATCTAAAAAACAAGCTGAGGCTCCTGAATCTATCAAGGCAGAGGCTTTGTAATTATTAGGTCCTAAACGCACATCTATTATAAAACAAGGAGATGGTTCTGAGGAGAGGATAGGACCTTCATTAGAAGTTGTACAAGATTCCAGCCGCACGGTCCCTATTGTAGCTGGACGTACTCGTTTTCCGACATACTGTCTTCTTTCACAGTCGTACTCCTCATTTTGTAGTTACGTTGCTTCTTTGGACAATGTTGAGCAGTGTGCTTAGGTTCTCCACAATATAAGCACAATCCTTCTTGTCGACGACGAGACTTTTTTTGCTCAGTAAGAGGTTTGAAACGTACCGCATCAATTTGCATATCCTCTACTTCCGAAGGTATGTGTTGAGGAGACGTCGGTGTTGCCATTGAATTGTAGTAACGTTGAGGCCCACTTGTGCGACTCTCGGATCGAAATTCAAAAAGTCGATTGTCGCACTTCACAGCAAAGTCAATTGCTTGACTCAATGTTTGAGGATCAGGTAAATTAAGCATCAATTTCTTTACCTCATATTGTAATCCGTAGAGAAATTGACTCACAAGTGCGGCATCATCCCACTTGATATCAGTTGCAAGTTGTCGAAATTGCGAAGCATATAATGTTACTGATCGATTGCCTTGTCGCAAAATACGGATCTTGTTGGTTGCAACACGAATTGCATCATGTTCTCCAAACATGGATCGAAACTCCGCCAAAAAAGCCTCCAGATTATCCAATATTGGATCTCGTCGTTCAAGAAAAGATGAAAACCATGACAATGCTGAACCTGAAAGAAGTGTACCAATGAATCTAACTTGTGACCCTGGAGTTGGATAGCTCTGGGGTTGAAGTTCAATCACTAGTTGGACCTGATTGATGAATCCTCGAAACTTGGATCTGGTACCATCAAACTTCTCGGGCAAGGCAACTCTCAGTTCTCTAACACTCGAAGGGTGTTCCATTCTGGGAGAAGGGACATGGTTTGGTGCAGATGTTGAAGCAGCTCCAATCATCTCTATATCTTCACTTCCTACCATTCTTGTTGCTCCTTGTGGTGGTAAATTGAGTTGATGCATCGCAAGCATTAACTCCCTCAATTGTTCTTGCATCTGTGCCATTGCACTCTTCATTTCAACAAGCTCTGCCATAGTAGCACTTAGAAAAGAGAAGATGTCTAATAATGCTCAAAATAAATAGAAGAGAGGAATTGATAACAAAGAAAATACTAAGAACAATATCAGTTTAAAAGAGGGTAATCCGCAACTTCTAATGCGCTTATGTCTTATCAAGAAAAAGGGGTAATCCACTCTTAATCAAGAAAAGACAAAGCTCTGATATTGTAAGTGTACTCTTGTCAATCTGTCAAGGACAAGAACTCGATGAAAGCTAAAGAGTAAGTGAGACTTTTCTCAAAAAGAAATAGGACAAAATAGAAATATGTATATTAAGAAAGAAACTGGAATGGCTATTGCCAAAATACAAGAAAACTAGAGACCCTTGAAACTAGACTAGAAGCAAGAAAGGAGTTGACAAGAGTGAAGAGGGCTTCACTCTTGCCTCTATATATACTATCTAACTAGAAGCCACGTGGCGATGTTCTATAAGACCTCCAATATATGTTGACTTTCTAGGCCACATGCCTTTGCTTGCAAGGCAAGTTTTCTATGGATGGACCACGTAGTTAGCTTGTTCTTTAAGCTTCCAACATGCGTGGCACATGGCTAACTTGTTGACCAAGTTTCTAACCTAAAAGTCAACTATAGACTCCTATAAAGTCAAAGCAGCGTCTATGAAGCTTCTAAGAAGCTTCTCTAGAAGATATTACACAATTAACCTACTTTTATCTACTTTTACATACTTTTATCTATTCATATAGGTAATTATATGTATGTCCGTGACAGCCATTCAAGAATCTAGCAAATGTATTAGCCAAAGTTAAAGCTTTTCATGAATGACATCTATCAAAACCAAGATGAAGAGTTAAGAAATTCTTTGCTATAAAGCAAAGCAAGTCCAATGGAGATTTCCTTCTATCTTGTATCATTATTTCTTTGGATTTTTTAGTGCTTAGGAGATGGAGAATCAACAACCAGCAGATTCAATTCAAGAGCTATCATTTGCTAAGCTACTAGATAAGACATTGTGACTATCACAATCTTTGAGATAGCAAAATTGAGATGAAGACCCTCAAGAATGACAAGTTCTTCCTCAAATCAATGGTAAGATACAATGCGTTTGGTACCAGGACCTTGGAAGGAACTCCCGGTGTTTAGTGATACTTTTGGAGATAGGAACCACTCTTGATGGTATTACTAATGTTTTTTTGAAGGAAGTTATGAAGGCCTCAATAATGATCAAATATTAGGGTGATCTTCTCGCTCTAGTATGGGACATTATTGATGATTGAAGGCACCTATCAACTACATTCAAAGGAAACAAAGATCAAAGTACGTGGCAAATATAGTTCGACGCATCTTGGACTTCATCTACATGTAATCACCACTCCTCGTGGAACTTGCCATTAGAAAGGGAGATAATATCATGGACATACATATTTATCCTGATAATTATCTAGATAATAAGAATAGGTAGAAGTATATCAAAGTAGATAAATATGATAATAACTTGTAGAAAGCTTCCTAGAAGCTTCTTAGATACTGCTTCACCTTTATACATGTCTATAGGTGATTGGTAGGTTAAAAACTTGGCCAACGAGGAGGCCATGTGTCGACATGTTGACCACTTATAGTATAAGTTGGACATATGGTGCACACCTAAGAAACTTGCCTTACAAATTAGACATGTGTCTTGCAAATTGGACGCATATTAGAGGTCTTATAGCATGTCGCCATGTATTTCTTAGTTAAGTAGTATATATAGATGCAAGAGTGAGGCACTAATAGATAAAATGAAATAATCCTATATAAGTTTTTAAACGCATTAATTTAAACTTATTATGAATCAATGTATTATAATAATAATAATAATAATAATAATAATAATAATAATCTACAACATATTTTCTCAATTTATGTAATTAACAATAATTTAACAGAATTAGAGTCCAGTCTAAACTCCAGTAATCTACATCCAAAAAATATTCATCCACACTTTCATCCAAAATCAAAAGTAGAGATAAAGGCCACGAACGTGGTCCCTAAAAAAGCATTACCCCACATGAAAATAATATTTCATTCATCCATTTCCCGTTCCCGGTTCGTTGTTAGGTGTTGCTGAGGTGGTCATTTTATCATCGACATATCTGTGGGTATGGGATGGTAGTGACTCTCATTCATCCATTTGTGGTGGAGACAGTTTGTAGGAAACTCGAGTGGGGGGGGGAGGTCTTGAACTTGTACTTCGTACAAGATGGAAAGCATGACCCCTTCAAGACTTGCATGTCTTTGGGAGTAGACTTGTCTCCAAAAAGGCCCCTTCACACTCTCACCATGTAGACCCCTTAACCAAACCCCAACTTGCCCAAGTTTTTTTATGTTATTTTGCCTTCAAGCCTCATCTCATACCTTTTTTAAAAGTAAATGTGTGAAGAGAAGGAAAACTTTCATGAAGAATGCATCAAAGTAAAAAAAAAAAAAAAAAAAAAAAAAAAAATGTGTGTTCAATAAAAAAAAAAAAAAAAAAAAAAAAAAAATGTGTGTTCAATAGTTGTGCTCATGAATGAGAACATTAAAACAAATAGGATTGCATCCCCCCTTGCATTGTTATTGTTGGTGTAGAGAGTGGGAATATTAAGCTTTGTATAATTAAACAACAAACACATCATGCAACGCCCAATACAAGCCATTTTACCAACACAATGAGTCACTGTGCAAAAGTCACATGTGCAACTTCCCATTGGATGATACCTTTCCACCTCATTCCTCCAAGTCATCCAAAGTCATGAGCCACTCCAATTTTTTTGTTTTAAAGTTCTAATATTAGAATACAGAATCCATGGATTGGGTGTTATCTTGTCAACGTTCGGGCAATTAAACACGGCCCAAATCTCTTTTTATCAAGGGATTTAGCTTTTCCATCTCCATCCATTTTTCTTTAATCCATCCATAAACGAGTTCATCCCTACATTCATCCATTGTACCACAAATCCTCTGAACATCTCCCACGTCTCACGATCGATGATACTTCTTCTGGAATACCAGCGAGTTTCCACCGAGACGATGAATGAGAACGCGGACGATATTGCATTTATCCATACCAATTCATCCACCCATCAGTTTGGGGCACTTGTGGAAGAGCGAGGGGGCGAGGCCGTTGAAGAGTTCAACGAAGGGGACGAAGGAGCGATGGCGGAAGTGGAGCTCGAGGGAATGAGTTTGACGATGACGATGATAGTGCAGTAATGCCGCCCACGAATGGGCAGAGAGGGAGCCACGGATTACTCGGGAATTTGAAGTTTTGACGAGCTGGTCAAGGACAGACAGACAGTGAAGGCGCATTTATTTATATATTCATATATTTATGAGAGAGGGAGGAAGGCGTGGATTCGAAGTGTTGTTATTGACTATCTCCGATGCAATTCCAACAGTGTTCGATCACAGAGATGAAGATGGGGTGGTGATTTTGGGTGACAGAAGGTTGAGAGAGAGAAAACAGGTTGGTGCGTGGAATCCATTTGATTTCAGTCACTCTGCTGCGCTTACTTTTGTAATGTGTTGCTGTTAGGAATCATGGACACTCGGGTGTGGCATTTCTGCTTTTGTAATAGTGTGCAGATTCTCATGCTTCTCCTGGATTTTGCTTATTTGCAGTAGTGGTGTTTGTCTGGGTAGATTGTCGTTAGGATTGCTTGATTGTAGCTGCTGTAATTCAGCTGTAGTTCCCCTTCATCACTCGAGAATTGTCATGCGTTCATAGGATTCGTGTGTTTTTTGTCAGAATTTGAGGCAATTCTCGCTGGATTTCAGATGTGCGGAAGGAGGGTGATTGGGGGAGACTGCGAGCTTGTCTTAACTTTCGTTAGATTTGGGAGGTTTTGGGAAGTTTAGGCAAGGTTTGGGGAGTGATTTTGTGTGTCGGATTGGTGGAGTTAATGTTGTGTCAATTTGGGTGTGGTATTGCGCACGCGGTGGCTGGCCCAATGGGTAGTACCGAGGGGTTGTCACGTCTTTCGGCAGGGGGATGTCTGTTTCTTTAGACAAGGCGAATTTCCAGGCATTTCGTGTAATTGGTTCTCTTGGGAATTTTGGCACAACGAAGTCATTTGGATGTAGTGTGGTGGTTCGTGCAAGTAGGTCATCACGCTGGGGGTGTTTTGAGGTACCTGTGCTGTTGCTGCTGGTTTTCCTCATTGATGCAGGTTTGAACAGATGCGTTGCCATAGCACGATTATTTATATTCTTTTCTTACAGTCTCTGCAATCTCTAGGGTGAAGAGGTTTACCAAATTACTTGTTTACTAGTTCACGGGGTCAGCGCTCAATTAGGTTGCTGGAAGCTGTGGATTCTGTTGACAAGCAATGCCTCAAGTTTTAAAATCCTTGCTAGGGTGGTGATGGGCGTTTTTTTGTAGTCAGTTGGATATGCTTGGTAAACAACCCCTGATTGTACAATTTTTTTTGTTTTCTCAGTTAGTGATGCCTTGGCATGTCAATATTTCGACAATGTGTATCAACTGGTATCAGTTAACAGAATTCTCCACACTAGCTTTGAAACTGTTTCTTTAGAAGTCCGAGTGTTTCTCCTCGTAGGAGAGTTTAATATTTAATAGACTGCTATGGTTCTAACGCAAGTTGAGTCAGAAGGAACACCACAGCCGAGGATGCCTAGTCTGAGGACCGAGAGACGCTCCTTTGGGATGGAGACCCCACGCCACTCGTCCTTCCGTATGGCTGAAGTTCTGTACGTGCTCAGCTGCGGTGGCCAGCTTGAGCATCCCCATATGATCAATGTCCAATATCCCGTTCATCAACCAGGTCCCACATTGAGAGGTATACCTCGGATTCCACCAATTTGGATCACAATCCATTCCACGCTGTGTTTTTGAGAATGCTTTTTGGGTTTCTTCTACATCTTGAATGCAGCAAGTTTTAGGGTTCACGAATTCGTATTGGGAACTGCGAATTCTTGTGAACTGGGTGCTTACGCTGAACTTCTTAGTAAGGGTTGTTTTTCCTGTACATCCAATCAAGTAGAGAGGATTGTGATTTACTTGTTATGAGCCCCAAAACCAACGCTTCGTTGTATTCTAGATGTGAAAACTCGTTTGATCGCCTTGCGGGGAAGGGGAATGCCAGACTCATTTTCTTGGTCATATAAAAGGTAACCACATCACTCTCTCAACCGGCTCCCATCTGCTTGATAGTCTTTGATAATGTTTCTGTAATGGTGTCGCTAATGGCGGCCGTTGTAATTCTAGGGGTAGAATTTGAATCGTCTCTTTACTCTGAATCGATGCTTATATATACTTTTTCTATAAGTGTTCCCTCTCTGGCATCTGCAATGTGAATGATATTGCTGCATCCAGACAACCAGTTGTGAAGAGAGGGATCATAGTAGTGACGCCAAAGGGCGTTAATGGCCTTGTTCTTTGTTTGGAAAAGAGATTAAATATCTAGACACTGCACACAATCTCCCACTCTCTTATAGATCACCCTTTCTGATTCAGGAATTATAAAGACACCTTCATCTGGTGCGACTTATTTGACGATAACTTCATTCTTCCTCTCAGCGAAAGTGGAGAATATGCTCTCAAAGCTACGAAACGCTTCGATGCGTCGCAAGGTGCTTAAAGAATCATTATTATCTTTGTTGCTGGTTTATTAGTCTACAGTAGTCCAGAATTGATTCTTACTTGCTACATACCAGCGATGAGTTACATCAATGTTCAATTACAGAAACTCACTGTTACACTCGTTGTGCATGTTTTTATTTTTTAAACTAAATTTCACGAATCATTCCTTTTTTTTCCAGTCAAATATCTTAGACCCCCTAGAAGGTCGGAGAACCTTGAAGCGGAGGGCGACGTTTCCATGGTTGTAAAAAAAGGCTTAGTTCTCATCAGTGACACTGGTAGTGTAACCTCCAACCGTACCATGGAGCTCAACAAGCAGCTCATGAATAGTCTTTCCCACAGCAGAAGTGCGGCTGCAGTTCGTAACAATGAACACAGCGATGTCTCTAGCAGTGACACACACTACTCGTATGAAGATGTAATCGAGAGAAAGGACTATCCTGCAAGGTGTAAGTCAAACAGTGGCGCAACCAAAAGGGGAAAGGCTTCGGTAACACCGAAGCAGTGCCATCCCAGCTCACGACCTGCTTACTGGGAGTTCTCGCCGCAAGGGAATAGAACAGGTCGCGAGGATTCATTAATGACGATTGGTTTAACTAAACACGTTGTTGAAGAGAACGAAGGGCCCACGACTCCAAGAGCACCCGCGAGGAGAAGAACCTGGAAGAAGGAAATCGATAAAATCACCATATTCAGAGAGTCTAATAACAGTGAAAGCTCGGACGACGAGCAGCCCAGTGTGCAAGCTGAAACCCATGTCTCTAAATTGTCAAAATCAGGTGGGTCGTATTCAGCTGCCCCCGAAGATTTGTTCTTGTACATACTGAGAAAGGCAACTAGATTGGGAAGTTTTAAGCCGCGGGTGTGTACAGAAGTTGATGTTGTTGATTCAACGCAATCCAAAACCAAGATGCTCTTCAGAAGCAAAACAAAAGATGAAGTTAATAGGCTTCTTTACCACAGTCCCTTAAAACAGGATCAGAGTATCAAAAAATGAAATATTCCTAGGTATTTGAATTCTGAAGTATCCTCCTTCTCAAGTGGCGTTCTTACATGACAGCTGCTGACCTGAGGAATCGTCTGCTCATTCTCATGTGTGTTCCACAATTAATGAACTGGCGGCACTTTCTCAAGCTTTACATAGCTTCTCTTTCACTTCACTGTTTATTTCAATACTGTAATTTACTCGCACACTATGTTTTAATAGGTCCAAGCAACGTACACACAACAGTGTAATAATTGTTTTTGAAGAATATTAATATTATCTTCTGTTTTGTGTAATATCATATTAAACAAAATTAGCTTGACTTATTCATTTTTGACATGATAAAGTATCTTAACGTAGGAATGAAGTTTTTGACTAGCGTTGCATCATCTCTTTCTTCACTTCGTTTAACTTGAGTATATTGCAGATTCTTCTGCTTCCGAACAAAATCAATGCAAGCATGCATTATAAGTGAAGTGCCTAGTGATTAAATTCAATTCTGTACTTAAAAGCAAGAGGGTACACAAAGAATCACTGAAATAAATTGGGGCTGAAAATTAAAAGATAAAGGGCGGGGTCTTTCGATAGATATGCCATCATATTGCCATCATATTACCATCAACTCGGCAGATGAATATTCCCCAAGAGCAAACATTTCAAATCGGAAAGCTCGCCAATGTTTGAGTGCAAAGTCTTCTGATGTTGGGCACATACGATCACTGTAAAATGTCGATAATCCGGTTGACCCGAATGTTTCAACTGGTGTTCATATGAGTTCTCAGTTTCAGAATTTTTAAATGATATAAAAGATATGTCCTTTAATTTGATTGACAGATTCCTATGTCCTAATTTTGGACGTAAAAACGTTCGCATGGTGGTGATCAAAATTTGTCAGTGTTGCGAATCCACTTTGTGGCAACCCATTTCTCGCCTTTGATTACAGGGCAGCTTCCATGCAGAGCGCTCTGTTGCGGAGAAAGTTGCAATCAAGTGAGAATCTGTCATGATGATTTGCAAGCATAACTACGGGAAAATTTTAGCTGGAATTTATTCTAAACAATCGAAAGAGGCATCGACACCAATTGATCGAGCTGTCTAAGTTTTTTCACAATACAGCCCAAAAATAAATAAGCAAAACGTTGCTCGAAAACCTCACAGAGGAGAGAAGAAAATTCTACAAGGAAAAAATCTTCACTTACCTTATCAAATGTGCCGTTAGGATGCATTGAGTAGAAAAGCAATGCATCACCTTGGCGGGGCTTGACTTTCATTCCAATGCACTTCTTGTAGTCAAAGCCTATGTTCATGTTTTGAAAATTCTGTCCATAACCACGTGTTTTAATATTGATCCAAAATTACCTACATTTGGCAACTTAAGGGTGTAATAAACTTATCACAAATGCTCTGATAAGAGAATTTGATTGAACTTACTTCGAAGGGAAACATGGTCTCTCCACCCTCTTCCACATCCGATAGATATAAGAGAAAGGAGGCCATCTGCAAGAGAATGAACAGTTGCATCAATAAGGAGTGGAGTCACTGAACTGGATTGAGGTTCAAAGTGAAACACGGCTTTATAAGCATAAAACCTGACGATTTACAATCACTTGATTTTCTAGATTTTTTTATTAAAAGATAAAGAAGAAATATGCAGTTTGGCTGTCAGAATTGTTAATTATAGAGAAGTCAAGAGGCATGTATTGTATACAGAAGAAACATTACGAAATGAACCTCAGAAAGAAAAGATACCCGTTGGCTTGGTTGAGGTCCATACTCAGCTGGGTCAAAAACATCATAATGGCAGTCGTATTTTTGTCCCACATTGTACTTCAACACATTGAAAGCCTGTAGAAGCCACACAGTGATGCAGAGAAATGAGGAGTGAACCTAATCCATCAGACATTCGTGAAGAAAAGAGAGTATCCGTCGTTAAGCACTTTTTTACAATTATTTGACTAGTTAACATAATTTTGTGTTCATTCAAACTGACCTCTCCATTCTCGCGAGGTATCATGGTTGCTTTCGCCATCTTCTCTTCAACTTGCTCCAAACTCCGCGTCGTGTCTTCGTCGGCTCTCAAGAAAGTCCCGGAACTGCCTTCAAATCACAACCACAGTAACGAGAACCTAAATTCTGAAAGCAAGCATCTCTCCGAGTAGATGTCATGAGATCTTCAGTAGACAGTCGAACCAATCGATCTTACAGAAAGTTGCACAAACTCCACAAAACACCGCAACTGCTACCCACCTAGTTCGGATGTCTTTCGTTGAGTCTTCACTCTCCCCTTTCCTCAAAGCCAGAGCAGAAGGAGCAAGACGAGTCCTTGCAAGCTTCATGATGGCCTCGCATTGCTCCTTGCTAGCAAATCTCGGATACAAGAGCGCACGAGGCTTCCAGCTCAACACCTGCATATTACAAACCTCATCAAAGTCTTGCTTGGTTTACCATCACCTGTTCCTGTACACTTGGGCATTCTGGCGAAGCCTTCAGAGATTGTGAACATTACAGAAACAAAGTCACCAACCAAGGAAGCAAATTCAACATGAACATACCTGGAAAGGAATGTCAGCGATGAAGTTGTCCCCAGTGCTACCATGATCTAACACCACTTTTTCACTGAATTCACCAAATGGAAATTCCCCTTCTTGCTGAGCCGATTTCCGATACGGCTGATATATTGCTTCCTCTTCTATTTTCTGGAAGCACATTACACAGCCATTACATTACATACAAGCAGCTCTTGACGTTGATTAATAAGCTTAAAAACGTCAGCATCCCATTCTGTCCAAAGGCGGGCCTTGAGATCTAGTATCCTTAACCTTTAGCTCATGAGGTTTTGGATACTCATTGAAAAAACCGAAATAGATGTGGGTACATAAAATCACAAGAGATGGAGTCTGTTACCTGGGGGAAGAAATTGGAGGCGGCATAGCCTGCTAAGAGGCAGATTGTGCACCACAATAGCACCTGTGGCAAACTGAGCTTGTATGTAAAAGGATTCCATTTTCTTCCTTTGTTTTTCGATGACTTCATATTGTATAAGGACAGCGTCATTCCCGCACACGAGAGTACACAAATAGGGCAAGGCATTTAAGGGTTGGAGGAATGAGGGCGTTGTGACGAATCTCTACATAACACCAATTGGCTTATTTTCTAACATCCACGCAGGTCATTTCAGTCGAGCGCCCAAACTTCACAACCCTCTTCCACTCAATACACCAATTGTCTGGGACTCTTTCATACTATTTCCAACCTCAAAAGCTTCCTGGAACCACAATGCAACCCACAAATTAGCTGATGCATTCACGGGGTCGACATATGAAAAGCTGTCGGGCACAAGTCAAGGACACATTTAACCTCACAAAAAAAAACACGGAAAACTGATAAACATCTCGAACAAATCCCAAGCGACAGGCAAAACCAGCGAGCTGATTGCATTGAGATGGAATCAACGATATGCTCAACTTCACATTCCGAAAAGTGCCTAACAAATTCCTTCGACTGCGCGAGACAAGAAAATTGGAACCAGGTCGTAACAGCTCTAATCTAACCCGCAAAAAAAAATTAAAAAAATAAAAAAAATTCTTAGTCTGTCAATGACAGAACTTCTTGGAAAGTTTGACACCTGTTTGAATCAATGGTCCTTAACCCCAGTACTCTGTTTCCCCTGCTCCGCCACAACAAAGCCCTACATAGAGCCTAATCCAAGTAGTAGTCTTAACAGCCAATCCACTGACGGACATGTGAGAATGTGAGAATGTGAGACGAAACCAAGCACTAACATGGAACTACAGACTAGCAAAAGAGCACAATGCTAGGTATTAGACCTAAAGCGAACTTTCTGACCTTGCCGACGAAAACAAGATCTTCTCACCCACAACTCAAAACCAAAACCTCCCACACACTGCCAAATCGACCCGATCACGAGCTTCACCTCAACCTCCATAGCCGCAAACACTTCCTCACAGACATAAGACCATCTCAGCAAAGGCTGCAAAAACACACAGTCAAACGTGGAGCATTAAAACCGCACCAGACCAGTAGGAGTTGATGCAGTGTGTGTGTACTAACAGCCTCTGCAGAGGAAGGACCCCAAATCCATGAAGTGATCCCGAGCTTGCTAAATCACCAAGGATTACTGCAACGATTTGATGGCGAGGGCTCTGGATTCGAACTTCAAAAACCACGACTGTCAATGGCATCCGTTGAATAGTTTAAAATGTTCACAGAAGGGCCGTTCAATGCTCTAGAAGAGGACATTCAACAAGATGTCAAAGTGCACTTCGCCTGGTCAAAATTGGAGCTGTTCAATCCAGATAAGTCAGAGAATTAACAACACAACAACAGTCGGAGAATCTGCATTTGTTGACTTTGTTCGTTTAATACCACCACAGTGTAACGCAAGCATCAAATCCACACGTAGTAGATACGCTCACAGCAGACACAGATTCTTCTCATCAAACAAACGGCTAAGAGTGCAAAAGCTCACTTGCAAAGCGCCGTGAATTTCATGAACAACATCACAATACCTCGAAAACTAAACACAGTCAAATCCTTCGTCATATCTCTTGAACTTCAGGAGGTAACCCTAATTTATACCTTCGGTGTTACATGTGATATCACATGCTTCCTTGCATTGCAGCATGTGATACTCCCTCTTTCTCTGTTGATTTGTTGCTGCAAAAACAGCGTTTGATGCGTGCAATGTTGGAGGGGGAGAGTTGGTTTTTTTTTTTTTAGTAAGAAAAAGTCTAGATTTTTTGGTGTTTATTTAAGGTGAGAAGTTCAGCTTTCTTTGATGCAGCGGCCACCATTTGGAACCATTCTAGAGCAACTTTTTGTACCTTCTTTGATCAGAGTGTGTTTATAGAGCATACTTGGTCGTCTCCATCTTCTTCCACTTCAACTCAACTGTTGTTTCTTTATTTATTTTTTGTTTTTTTTATAGTTGGGATTTAAGAAAGTCATTATTTTTGTGTTAACATTTATTAGATATGGTTAGGAATTTTGTAATTAGGATTTGATTCATTAATCTTATAATACCTTTTAGTATTTTTTTGGTAGTTTAAGGTCATTATAAATTGCAATAGGAATTTATGTCATAGTTGGTTGATGTTTATGTAAGGTATAATTTGGATAGATATTTTATTAGAGTTTTAGTTGGTTTTTTTAAAAATTCTATTATATTGAATTATAAATTTAAAGTATAGAATAGAAAATTATATACTTTGAATAGAATTTTTAATCTATGTTGGAGCATTCAAGTTTTTATTGAAGGAAAAATAATAATAATAATAATAATAATAATAATGTTAAATAGACAATTTGTTACAAACTTACGCAAGAAAATTAAATATATTACAAAGGTTTTTGACCTATAACAACAATGAATTAGAGTTTGAGTTTTATTGAGTGAATTAATTCTTATATTAAAACAAACCTTATTTACCAGTAAAACATTGTGAAAAGCTAATTGGTGTTAAGAAGCTATCATTTAATTGAATATTAAAGAAACATTTAGAAAATTATTATGGGATTTGAAATATTATTATAGTATAGGAAGTAATATGCTTTAAAATCACTATTTTGACAATATATTTGTTACTTTTGATGTTCTAACATATAATAAGGCAAAAGGTGATAAAAACATCCATAAGATAGATTAATCTATACAAACAGAGAAGAAGATTTTGATTATTATGATTTAATAAAGCATTTATTATAAAGATTAGACAACTTATATGGTATAGAAGGTGAGGAGTTTGATGAATTAATACTATCTTTAGATATTTAAAATCTTGAAATTATAAAATGTATAAATGGAGGAGCTTTTGGAGAAGTTTATAAATTAAAATAATTGGGACTTTTGCATGCAACTCAAAAGTTTGATGTAGATTTAATGAATAAAAAAATATCAAAGAAGTGAGTATTTTAGCAAGTTTAAGCTATTCCAACATGATAACATATTAATTTGCCATAAAAGGTAGTGTTAATGAAAGTAGTGAATATTTAATAAAAATAATAAAAAATAAAATGGAATTGATGCAAAATATTGCAAAAAAGAAGAAGAAATATTTTATTATTATTATTATTATTATTATTATTTATTAATTTTATTTATCAAATTGAAAAATGGATGTTTTACTTGCATGATATGAAAATTACACATCATGATTTAAAGCTTGAGAGTATTTTGATTAATGTTCTAGACATAAAAATTATAAATAGGATTATTTAATATGCTATTTTAAAAATAATTGATTTTAAAATGTCTAAGGTTGAAGTTAGAAGTAATCCAAAAGCCACAAAGAATAATTATGTTTATGGTAGACTTATACATATGGCTCCAAAGACATTAAAAAATAAATTTCAAATGACAAGAATGTGACCTTTTAAAGTTGACTTAAATTCACTTGCAAAGATGTGTTTTAAGTTGCTCTCATAAAAAGATCTATTTTGTAAGGTTTGTATTAAAGAAAAGATATATAATAGAATAAAAAATATAAAAAACCAACCTTATTTTCAAATTATGATAAATTAATTGAGCTAATCATAGAGTATAAGAAATTAAATCCATTGCATTGGCCAAAATCTCCAAGTATTTGTGATAGATCAAACATATTAAATAATAATAATAATTATTATTATTATAAGTAATACAAAAAAATGTATTATATTTTGGAATATCAAAGAAATAAAATTATCAAAATATAGAATTTCAAAAAATATGTAGTAGATTGCTACTAGCAAGACCTTTACAAAAAAATACTATATTAAGATTTTTTAAAATTGATTAGATTGATTGTATTATATATTTGTGTCGACTTCTATGCTATAGTGATGACTAAATTCCTTATTATGAATATAAGTTGATGAAATTAGGCTAAAATATAATATATATATCATTTTTATTTTTTTTAATTCATGATTAAATTCCTATTTATATTGTCTATCTAATATGTTTTTATTTTATTTTTACTTACTTCTACTCACTTATATTTACTAAAAGTTATGTAGATACCTCGTACATTATCTCTTCTTCTTAGGTTAAGTTTTAAGATGAGTGGTCAAAATATTTTACAAGTTGATGAAGTTTAAAATCTATTGAATGGTATTAATAATAAACTTTGGTCTTTATTTTGCACAAAGGTGGTCAATTAATTCCTTGGACTATCAATAATAAAGTATACTAAAGTAAGAAGATCACTTAGCTATTTAATCATAACAATACATTTTGCATGCCATTGAATATTGTATCCACCTCTAATAGTGTTAAGAAGCATTAAGAATCTCTTCTAAGATTGTAGTATCCTATATGTTATTGTGTTATATAAAATATTGTTTAAAAATATACTAGACATCTAGCAATAGAAGAAAAAGATTCTAAAGTATTTAATTTTTTTATAATTTTTTTAAAATGAAGTATTTAGGAACATCTTTTTTAACAACTTAAATCTTTATAGAAATTCTAAATCCTATCAATCTTGAATTCTAAAATCAATCAAATTCTGAACACTAAAATAAATTCTAATAATTACCAAAAACATCCTCATCAAATTCCAAATGAATTTTAATAAATTTTAAATTTTCAACAACAATCTTCAATGGATTAAAACTCCTAAGTACATTACTAGATCAATTTTAAGTTTTATATAATTTTGGTTTTATTTATCTTCTATATGATCACTATTTTTTTAAAATATTCAATATATAAATTAAAAATTAAAAATTAAAAACCTCCACTAATAAAACTTTGTTGTCCACTCCAAATTAGATAAAGAATTCTAATAGATAAATCTTATAATTAAATTGTTTATTTTTTCTCTAACTCAATACATCACTTTAATATCACATCTTATCTTATTACTTTAAGTTTTTACTTTATCCAATGCCCAAATCTTTAGATATCTAATAATTAAAATTTGACATTAATTTATCCATTTTTGACACTCTATTATAAATAAAATCTAATATCTCTCAATAGAACCATTAAAATGAAAAAAAATTAGATATCAAGTTTTTGGCTTGTACATCTATGCTTTTATAACATTTTAATTGTATATTAATCTTAGATTATAAAAAAAACTACTTAAAAATTATTCTAATCTTAATTAACTTTTAGAATTGTATTAATTGAAAATTATTCTATATTACTATCTTATTGAAGGACTTTTCTAAATAAAAATCCTAAAAATTAGCAACATTATTATTTTTATTTTTTATTAAAAAAGATAATTAATTTTAAAATAAAGAAATTTTTTTTATTTTCTAATTTAATTTCTTTAGAAATCTATTTGTGAAACTTTAAAAAAATATAAACTTATAATTTGAATTCAATAATCTAGTTAATATTTGAAAAGAAGAATTTTTATAAAAGAAGTAGGATTTTTAATAATAAAATTAGGTACTAAACATTATTTTTTAAAAAATTATTATAATATACTATATTTTATTTTATTTTTAGTAAAATAAATAAATATATAAAAAATTAACAAAAATAAAATCTAAATAAATATGATTGAATTTATTTATTTCTAAAAATTTATATTTTAATATTTTAATTTATTTATTTATATTTATGAATAATATACTATTCTATTGATTATATATTATGTGCATATTAAATAGATCAGTTTGTGTTGCTCTATATTTCTATTGTATAATTCTATTTTCTTAATCTTTCAAAATACTTATTACAATCTAAAAATCGTGCCACTTCTACATAATAATGCTTTTGGATCTAGTTTTTTTCTTAATTCTCATTTTGATGTCTTTTCAAATCATTTTCCCATATTCTACAACACCATCCTATTCCACTTCCTTTGTATGGATATCATTCCAAATCATGCCCTTAAAGACTTTCATATTTCTTTGAATCCAAATCCTCCATGTGCAAATACCTCTTAGTAATGTCTAAAAGATTCTAAACTTTTTGAATCTTAGGTTTAATTTTTTTACAAACAAAGATTGTTTATAATAAATTGCTTTCTATAGCCCCATCTCCTTGATTTGGTTACTAGTTTAAGAATGATGTGGCCCAATCCCATTCACTATGAGGAAATTTCCAAAACCTATTGTTTTTACCGCTTGATGAACACAGATGGACCTCATCCTAGTCATTTCAAATTCAACATATTCATGAATCCTGGCTGCCTCAGAACATGGTCTGCCTGCAAACACCCCACTAAACCTCATCAAATGATCACGTGAGTGTGTTCATGTTCTCTAGGGCTTCAGGCGCTGCCAGCATCTGATAGGGTTCACAAGAGCTCAGAAAGATCGTGAGGGATTGCAGAAGTTATTGCAGCTCGAAGGCTTGCCTGAGAAAGTGCTGATATTCATGAGCAGTGCTGCATGAGTTTGTGGAGCTGAACCAGGTTGCATTGAAGCCGAAAGAAATGGGTAAAATTATACTTCCACAAGTTGTGTCACAATGCCGAATACTAATCTGGGATCTCAGCACATCGGTGATGGTGGGGTATGTCACTGGAGGCTTGTCTCAGAGTGAGTGAAGGTGGTTTACATGCAGCTTGATTTTGGAGCTTTGTGCAATTGTGGCATGATCTACGTGTGCCATTTGAACACCATGTCATGGCCTTGGAACCAGCTGTTGGGACGAGTCATCACACGGGGGTGGGATTGTC